GTAATTTATTAAAGTTTTAAAAAATTCATTTCACAACTATTTCATTGTCTGTTCAATAAATTTAGTTTCTGGTTTACAAATTTTATTTTATTCTTAATTATTGCACACATTAGTTTAATTATAAGATTAAAATCTATAAATATTAGATTTTTTGCCGAAATACATTTGTTACCGTCCAATGCCCCGGGGCTGTCCATTGAACCGCAATAAAATGCACGCTTTTCAGTTTAGTGTTTTCCCACTAAATATCTAGATTACAGTTGTTTTATGTATTTTGTTTTTGTCTTTTTGCAAGCATTTTATAAACATGCAAAAAGCGTTTGGGCATATTAATTAAAAACGTTTGATTGTTATTATTCATACATTGCAATTATCTATTTTTTCCCACCATTTCTATATTTTCTGCGAGCGACGCTTCATTATTTTTGCATTAATGTAACGTTAATTGCATTTTGACGATTTTGTGTTAATTGCCTTCGCATTTGCTGTTGTGTTTATTATAATTTAGTTAGTTATTTGCAATATTATTATTAATAATTTGCCGGTATTGAGAGGGTTTTCGCATTGCGTTTAACATGAGTTTCAGGCACTAATTGAAATCCTTTTAGAGTAATTAGGCAAAATTGCAATGCAATGCCGCAAGAGATGAGAGCCCTGCTGCCTTCGCACGTTCTCGCTGTGTGGTCCAGTTAGAAAAACAAACTAATTTAGTAAATTACTATTTAGTGGGCACCTTTTATATATTTGGCCGAGAAATACGATGTTGGCCACCTGGCCGCAGTTTTGGCCACATACAAAGGTCATTTTCGGGCTTTGAAGTTGGGCTTTGAAATGCGCCAAAGGACATTTAACGAATGGCATGCTTTGTGCTTGTGTGGGTGTGTGTGTGTAGGGTGTGAGTTGGTGGTGTATACAACACCCACACATACATACACATTGCAATTGCTGTCGGAACATCAAAGCAATGCGAGTTTTCCAGTTGACTTCATCAGTAGATTGTGTGAAGTATGCCAAAAATGTGTTGTAAACTGTCCAACGAAAACCTACTTTTTGTATACCCTGAAAAATATGTAAAGAGGGTAGTTTAAGCAATAAAGTTGAAGAAATAAATTTTTAATAAAAAGTAAAGCTAAAAACTTTTAAGCCAAATTAACAATTGCTTCAAATGAAGTTTGTTCTCTCGTTTTTTTTTCTATCACAGAGTATTTTAAATTCTATCAACTATCACACATCTACGTCGCGCTGTTGGCCTTTTGGGCAGTGGAACTTAAAGTAATGCCATAAAATTGAATGCTTAACAAGCTCTTTGGCTGCGAGGCACGTGCTGAGCCAGCTCTGGACTTTGGTGTTCACGCGATTTCTTACACGAATCAAATGTATTGGAGAGTAAAATAATATTGGCCAAGCTTTTAAAATACATTTTACATGCACTTCAATTTAATTGACGCGTGGCCTCGTCTTCCTATTGCTCGAGCGAAATTTGAGATAACGAACTTTTCGCAGAGTGAGCCATTCAATTAGTTTAACACCCCCAAGGTATTAAAACTGGGCTGGCATCGATGGGGGTTACGGAGTGCTGGCTCAACAATTGCTTCTCATCTTACATCAGAAAGGGGCCGGAGAGATACTTGTAAAGCTACAGAAGCAAGTGAATGAAACTCGATATGCAGTTAAAAACGAAGCTTGGTCAAAAATCGCTGGCAGCAAAATGTGGGTGTGCTGCATATGAAAGTGGATATGTAGAAACATTGTAATTACCTATTAGGGCTGGAAATGTTTGCGAACCTAGAGCATATAATTATTGGCGGGCAAATAAACTCTATTACATGCATTTTTAGTTAATTTTAATAGGCATCAAGTGACAAGTTAATAAAATTAAGTGAATACTTATGTGGTATCAAATGAAGAGCATGAAGCAACGTCTTAGTTGTTAAAGCAGTGGGTCTTGTATACATGAGCAGCAGAATGGCCAAGAAATGTGTAAAATAATATATGATTTTTCACCTTTTCGTATTTGATAATA